AATAACCTAGTGACTTACTTGTATAAATCGGAACAGAACCAAAACTTTATCCAATATTCCCTCCAGCTCTTCTTCGGAGGTACCTTTATTTCCAGCTCGAAGTTTCTCATCAAGAAACTTCGCAATCAATTCAGCAGGTCGATTCTGTTGGAAAAAAGGGCTTGAGCTGATCTTTCATAAAATAAAACATAGTACAAAGAAAGAAAATGCAGGATAAATTACACATCTACTTAAGTACAAAAAAGCAACTAGATAACAATGAACATCAGAAACAAAATGTATTGGTACCAGCATATCTCAAATCTAAGAATTGAGCTTTCTGTTTATCAAGTATCACAGCCAAACTGGACTGCGATAGGAAACCAACATAAAGCAATATGTACAAGGACAGCACAGTTCTTAAACAAATGGCCAATATCAACATGTCCCAGCAAGTCAAAAATCAAAGAATCAAACAGTTTAGCAGGCTATAAAAGGGAAGACTGACTGTAGTAGGAAAGCAAATTACAAAATATTGTGATATAAGATATGAACTCAGTACACAAGAAAGGAAAAAAAATATTGTCAAGCAGAATCATAAATATGGCCTACCTGGCGTAAATTGATAAGATGTTCGAATGACTCTTTTATTGTATTGGAGAAAGCCTCATTTTTGGCAAAACTTTCCTCCAATATTCTATCAAGCGATGCCTTAAATTCCAGAAGAAAGGGCACCAGTTCTTTGTCCTTTTCTTCATCCATGATAATGCCCTGGCCTGTGCCCCGAATATATGAACTAAGTGCTTGCTTTAGCAACTCAATGGCATCAACCCTCTGGAAGAGTGTGTACATCCTCGAGAGGTCTTTTACACGATTTGCTTCCATAAGCATTGTGAATCCCTGAACAGTAAAACATCATATGCCAGGTCATGAATGAGACAGTGGCTAAACTAAATTAGTGGCCAACAAATATAATATATTGATAAAGTAAACACCTCTTTTCTATATATTGATCTAATGGGTCAACTAGAAAATGCACCATCACATTCTTATTCTGGCCAGATAACAAATCCTACAGTTGTAAGAGCAGATAATCACCTTCTCAAGAATTGCAGATGTGTGCCGCTGCAATAATTGCTTTTCTGTAGCTGTTATAAGCGGCTTCCTAGTGTTAGCTTCCAAATATAGAATACACCTTTCATGTTCTTCTTGCAACCTTGTCTGAATAATTCATGTGAAATACCACCAATTGCATAAGTATACCTGAATTTTGTGTGAACAAAATGCAAGGGGAAATACAAGAGGTTTATCAATACCTCCACATGCTTGAGATAGTCTGGAATATCAGACTGCTGCAAATATTTAACACCTTCAGTAGCATAAAATTCAGATGTACACTCCAGAAAGGGCTTTTCAAAACTCTCAGAATACATTCCAAGAGCAGTAAACATCTTCAGAAGATGACTAAGTAATGTCCTGTCTATTGCTTCACCAAGCCTGATAAGGAAGAGATGGTTAATGAATAATCAGTTACATAGAAGAATATAAAATAAATTGACCCTTCAAGTCCACAATTTTAATAATTTAAAATGGACCCAATACATACACTATGATCGCCAGCTACATCACACAAGGTAAATGCAATGACAAAACTTTTCTCAAGTAAACTGATTACTCTTTGATATGTAATGGAGTATACAATACATTGCACTAAGTCTGATAAGGGTACTTTTTACAGTTGACCATTCAACCCAGATCTCTGAACAATTCCCAAGTGAATCAGAACATGCATTACAAATTTTCATCATTCCATGTTTACGCCCACCCCCACCCCCCCCCCCAAAAAAAAAACACACACACACACACACAATAAGACAGGTAATGCACACAACATGGCTCAGTACAGCAGAGTAGGCATACCTCTCACTCTCAATTAATCTTAGAAGACCAGTAACAGTTTTGTGTTCAATCTCCGGAGACAGTGAAAGATGCTTGCGGAATAGCTTCAACCCCATGTCCCACACTGAACAAATGTTTGCAACATTCTTGACATATTTTACATCAAGAAGTAAAGCAATACCACGAATAATCAACATCTGATCGCAAAAATCTTGCCATGTTCTTTGCACCAGAGACAAAAATACTACTAAATCTGGACTTTGACCCACTAATGCTGATATTTTTGCCGATATGTGTACTTCACATTCTTTCTTTATGCGTTCGTATAGATTTGCGCCTAGCTTGTGTAGACAAAGGTCACCTGCAGCCTATAGTGAAGAAAACAAGTTCTAAATAACTAAAGTGGGATCATCAAATAGAATAGAAGCAATATAAAAATTACCTGGTAAAGTTTTTCAACATCGCACGAAAGTTTCTGTTTTAGAAATATAGCTGTAATAGCATCTTTCAAAATAGCCCATGTATCCTCCTCAAAGTTTGTTGGCAATTTTGGCTGACCTGATACATGAAAAACAGATGGGATATAATGAACAAAACAGAAAAGGGATGCAACAAGAGACGAATTCCGGGGTGGGAGTAAATCTTTAGTTCTTGTTCGGCAAATGGGTTATGAGAGGTGGGATCGGGAAAGGGAAATGAGTGAAGGGCTACAATGAAATGGAGTGGTTAGAATGGATGGCTAGGATGCAGTGTTGCATTTTTTATGGGTGGATATTATTTCCCAATCTCATTTGCCAATCACGCCAAAGGGTTGCAAAAAATACATCCAGAAGATCCCAGGGGTCTATTATCTAAGAAAGAACATATGGCCTTCTGAATTTTCTTATACAGGTTACTAGTTAGTTATGGTGGGTACTGATTAGTGAATAGTGACTGGTGCAGGGATTATTATTATATATGACTCAGAAATGAATAGATATTAAAGGTTAGAGCCACTGCAACATCCATTGCACAGAAACGGATTTTCAGCTTTCTCCTGAAGACTAGAGAAGGTCACATACTGGAGATGCGAAGCAAAGCTTCCAATAAATACCGACAGTTACACCCAATAAAGAGACAAAAGAGTGTCAACTTTTAAGCAATCTAGCTAGAAGCCAGCTCATATGGTGCAATACGACCAAATGGGGAGCAGGAAGTCAGAAGAACCATACAACTATGCCCAAGCTCACTTGTCAACTGCATTAAAAAAGGCAGAAATCCTTGATGCATATTCACGCCCAACAAAGCAAGCCAAGATAAACAAGCAATTACAAGGAATTGAACATACATATATATCTCAAGAGAAACTAGACGGATTGTTGCTGACGAAATCATTAGTTACCCTAGCAATTATCAATTTCCCCCAAAATAGTCCAAGTGTCTAGCCAAATTCCTCTTTACAAATAGACACGCCAATTAGTAAATAGAAAACAGAAGTGTGTGACGAAGCGATCCATTTGACGAAAGGGCTAACGAACACCACCTCAATCCCTCCCTATTATTGGAATTTAAGTTAACGACGCAAGCGGGCAAGTGAACACACTGAGAGGAACAATAGAATTCCCCTCAATTTACCCCCGAAACCCCTCGATGATGTATTCTCACATGGAAAACGTGCAATTACAGTGAAAGAGAGGGACCTATTTTGATTCGGAGGGGCTTGCGGGCGGCGGATGGCTGGGGGAGTGTGGCCTTCTTCCGGAAGAGGTTGGCGGCGACCCCCGCCGGGGCCGATGCGCTCGGAGCGGCGAGCTCCTCCTGGTCGGCGAGCACCATCTCCGCATCCTCCTCGCCGTTGGTGCGCCCACCGGTCCGGGCGGCGGCGGCCGTGGGATCGACGTGGAGCCCGTTCTTCTCGGTGACCCCGGGGGCGGCGGCGGAGGAGGAGGAGGAGGAGGAGCCGGGGAACTTGGCCTTCTTCATGTGCGGCTGCGCGGGGGAGGTCGGGGAGGAGGCGGCGGCGGAGGAGGAGGAGAAGTGGCCGGGGCGCTTGGGGGCGGTGGCGTGGGGGTGAGACATGAATCAGATGCCGAAGCGCATGGCGCGGCCGCACCGGCGGCGGCGGCGAGGCCCGGGGTAGGATGGGTGGTAGGTGGCGGCGCGCCGGGGTTTTGGGGGTGAGGCCGCCGCACGCCGGCGAGGAGGAGGTGGGGGAGTGGAGACTAGAGAGAGAGAGATCGGGTTGGGGGAGGAAGGGTTTCCCCTTTTCTTTTCTTTTTTTTCTTTTTTTTCCTTTTTCTTTTTCTTTTTTTTATTTTTTATTAGGTGGGATTTGCGAGGCCGTAGCGGCCCAAATTAAGAGTGAGAATGTGGGCCTGGAGTTCCACGCGGCCCAGTTTCCTTTTGTTCTCATTAGCCCAATTCTGTTGCCGCCGCCTTGCCCTCGCCGCCTCTGCCTTCTGTCGAGAACTCGAGATCGAGAATTCGAGATATCCACGCGCAGTCAGATATGGAGAACTATAATCTTCATCCCTTTGACGGGATCTTCTTTCGTTTGTTCAAAAAATTCATCCAAACGGTTATAAAAAAATTAGCAACACTTGTACTACATGCCTACTGTACAACCTCACAAAATCTCACGTACAGACTCAACTCACGCATCGAAATGTTAAAAAAAAAACTCAACTCACGCATCAAAATGTTAAAAAAAAAAGACAAATTCAGGTATGACTAATAGCTATTGTTTACATCTGATCGAATTTAAACTTAATTTTTATACCCATAGACACCGTTATGTATGTTGTTAATTCCTTTTAGAATTTTTTGTAACTATCTACATTAAATTTGGAAGAGAGAAGAGAAAGATATAAATTAAGTTGTGTTCAGGGATTAGAATCCATTCACACGCAAATACCCTACCTGTCTTCGTCGTCTTTCTGTCTGATTCGCCGGATTCGCGATCATTGCCTCAGCCTTTGGTACAGGGAAGGAATGCACCCACAGAAGTTACAAAAAGGTTCAGGCAGAAGAATAATACAAAATGAAACCCGTCCAATTTAAGCGCACAAAAAAAAAACAATTGCATTGCATCCCATAGTCTTCACCCGTTTCCTCACCATTTCTCGCTCAGCAGGCACACTGAATAAGCTTGGCCAGAAGCGCAAAATATGACAACAGATTTTTCGCGATCAAAATTCATTGCTAAAAACCGTTTAGCAACACAGCTGATAGATATACCCATCAGTCACACCCTCAAGAAAAGTGAAGCATTACAAACATGGAAGAATTGAGTGGTGAAAGCGAAACGTGCTCAGGTTCAGTGACAATTAAGGTTCGGTTGCCAATCCAACATCGCCGTTTTTTTGGCGCTTTGTTGAAGGTTCATCCTCTTCATTCGTTGCATCTCCTCCGGTTTCTGTCGTTGGATTATTTGGCTCGGCCACCTTTTCATCTTCGGTGCTGGCAGCACCGTTGATAACACGGTTGACAACGTCTGGACCTAACAGAGAAGCATGTTTACTTGTAATCTTCCGACCAGCTCTGATTTTGGGACCCCAATGACGTTCTGGGTTCGGAAGGAACCGCTTGACCTTCTTTGCTTGAGCCCTGCTGAGGGCAGCAGCCGCTCTAGAGAAATTTGCCTATGAAAACACAAAGGAAGTTAGAATGCCATCTAACTGAAAGGCATAAAAGGACTGCTGCACGTTCAAGAAATGCATACTTCAAGCTTGGGTGATTTTGAAAGGATCGCTGTCCCTACAGAGTCATGTGGTTGTTCCTTTACAGGATGATTCTTCACCTGTATGCGAATGTCACAATATTAGTCAGAATACTAAAAAAAAACAGCATTTCTAGTAAACTACCCACAATTTATACTAGCAAACACAATATGTTAGGAAAGTTATGGCAAAAGGAATAAATGAATGTACCCAGCAGCGCATGATGTCCCAAATAACATCCCAAGGGGCATCAGTTTTTAGTCCAAGTGGATTCACATGTGTGCTAGAAATCCGATAACCCGCATTTAGGACTGCAGATCGGAACAATACTGCAGATGGAGATGTGCATTTAACATTAGCACATATGTTGTGGAGACTGAAGAACAATGGGATGTCATGTAACTCCTGCATCACAATAATAACAAAATGAAGTTTAAAGAAAATTTTAAAGAGTTCGTAAACTATAAATAATTTCTCAAGAGTAAATGAGTGAGCCATGACAAACAAATGCAGAACTAGATGGCCAACTAATTTATTACTTGTACATGGTTTAACTAAATTACTGCACATTTGGGCAATAATTTTCCTGTTGAAGTGCTTTACATATCTATGTTCTAGTGAGAAATGGATTACCAAAAAGTCGTATTCCTTTCTGCCATTATTTATTTCCATCAGTTGCATGCCATGATTAACAGGTCCACATATCGAGGTTGTATTGATAAAATGGATTAGCAAAAGTCGTATTCCTAGCCACCATTATTTATTCTCTTCAGTTGCATGCAAATCGTGCTTTAGGTCAATATTCTAAAAAGAAAATTATTTAATGTGATGTTAAGAATAGGCAACAGTTTCACTTCATAGCAAATGCACCAAAACAGGCCATTTTAACTTCATCACAAATGCACCAACAATGACAACTTGATAAAACACAGATAACAGTCATAGCAATACCTCTGATATGGTAGTCAGAACTGAAGTTATCTTATCATATGCAGGATATCTATCCTTCATTGACTTAACTTCTGTCAAAGTAGACACTACCCACTCTTGGTCATGTATAGGAGCAGACCATATTGGCCCTCCTATAGTAAATTTCTTCCCACAGGCACTGCACTCTTGAGGAACAACAGGCCCAATGGCAGGCGCATTCTTCACACTGTTGTTCTTCAGTTCGGAGAGGACGCACAAGGAAAAGGGAAAGCTTCAGACTCAGCACAGATAGAATTGAGGTTGTGTGTGTTTGGGGGCTTGGGGGGGGGGGGGCAAGCATACCTTAGTTATGGTCCTACCAAGACACTGAAGATGAAATGAATCGCAACCAACACATTGATATACATAAGAAAGCTTTTGAGGAGTCTTCTTTACTTCGTTTGCAGAACTGCATAAGATTTCATTGTGTCAAATTTAGAAAGAATATTTCAACCAAGTACTGCACAAAAGAACATAGTCCTGTTGCATAAAGGAAAAGATGAGGGGAAAAAGGAACTCACGTAAATACTCGGACAAAAACACGGATGTAGAAATCCATAGACACAGAGAGAACAGGCACAATATATCGTTTGTATCGATTTGCATGACTCTGGTATTGAGAAATGGAAAAGATAACAAGAATCAAGATACATGAAGGATGAAGCAATGGAACTTCAGAGTTTATGGGTCATTTAGCAAAGCAAATAATTCAAACTTAACACAGTTCTCCTGCGTTTTCGAGAAAACTTCTAAAAACAGATTCTTAAATAGGTATTGAAATTTGCACATCCTTTAATAGGAATATACTTCATCTTATGCAGTTTTTTAAACCAATTATCCAGTTATATATTGATCCAAACTAATAAGTTAACTGAGTGATATAGGTACCTCAATACTGGCAAGGAGGATTCGCAAAGCCATTTCATGGTTATACTTCCCTTTGGTTGGATAGGAACCATACCTACAAGACCGACTTGATGGTTAGAACAAAAAACTAGATTTAGATTTTTGCTTCAAACCAGTAGTAATGTCCATACTTGGAGTGGCAAACTTCACCATTTGGCCCACATAGAACCGCCATATCAGTGGCAGTGCACATTAATAGCCCACCATCAGCAACAGCCTGTACAGCCGAATCAAGGAAAATAGAAGGTGCTCCATAGGGGTCAATATCAACCTGAAAATGAGGCAGGTGTAAGTTGACATAGAAAGATACAAATGGAGTAACTGTAGTATTCATCACTTTCTAATGATTAAAATTCATTTCTTTCAACTTAATAACATACAATTGACTGTTTGGCACAATCAACAGTTTGTCAATAGGGGAAACAAATCGATTAAAAGGGTAAAGCATGAAAATCTACCATTTTTATATAGTAAAATGTTGCTACCAAAAACAATGCTATAAAGATATCCTCGTAACTACCAGAAGAGAAAGGCTTACCACATCAAACTCTTTTGGATGTGTGAGCATATAAACTCGAGCATCAGTCAAATGAGGCTCGATCTTACTCATAGCAGAAGCACCATTAAACTTTATATTCCGCTTGCAAGCTTCAATACAAGCTGAAAAGGAAGAACCCACACAGTATAATGAATACAAGCAGAGAAGCATCATTATTTAGAAAGGAAACCAGTTCAGAAAATTGGGCCATTACCTTTATCAATGTCCAGAGCGACCACCTTTTCTAACACGTCTATTTCACGAGCATAACGGATAGATCTCAACCCAGAAGCAGCCAAAGCCTGCATTTAGTTTTGTTAGCCGGTAAAAACTGAAAAACTATTACATATCAGGTCAGGCAACATTAGTATGGAACCGTAAAACTGATGTAAACATAACACAGTAATGATTTTTTTATTGTCAAAACTGCATAACGTATTATGACTTGCAGCACATAGAACCAAATATTATGGTCCTCAGGTTGCAAAATATCCCAGCCCTATTTAAAATTCGAACAATATAACATTCAGAGTACATATTTAACTAAAAGTCCAAACTTTCATGTCAGAGTGTTTTATGTATTTTTTTAAATATTGAATTCTTGATTAAGATGATTAATTTAACTCTTAATTAATTTGCTAAAATTAACTGAGATTTGAACGAAGGGTGGGGCTCTATGAAACCCGTAGACCATAAACCTGGGATTATGTGCCACAACTCATAATATCCTTGTTTTTCTGGAATGTCAACCATTAAACCTGCATTTTTTTAGATTTACTCTATACTATTCATACTATATGTCTCACCTCAAGAACAACTGGTGCCTTAAGCTCTCTGGCTACTTTCCGCGAAGGTGTCTTTGTTGCTTCTGTTGACAGATCTTCTGTTTCATCCGCAACTTTATTTGTTTCCTTTTCAGCATCAACATCCATTTCATCATGCTGTCCTGTTGACCCATTCTCTCCATTTGGACCAGATGATTTACTCTGGCTCACTTTGTTATGCGCCTTGTCCCTCTTATCCATCATTGCCTTATGTTCTTCCTCACGCTTGGCAATGAAAGTCCTTAAAAGAGCAACTGACATATCTCTATTGTGGACCTAATCAAGCAATAAAATTGAATTACAGAAAAGCACAGTAGCTGATAGGAGATTAGACATAATTTTAGGCCAAATATAATTACTCTGCAACTTTTAAAAGCGATAGATACAGGAAATATTAACTATGAATAAACTCATAGTAATTTGCCGATGATATCACATTCCCATAACCACCCTTTACTCAATTCCTCCATAGCAAAAGTTCAGGCTGTTAGTGACTTGAAAAAGTTATGGCTAGAGATACTAATTGTTGAGAATGCAGCATAAACAAGCCCGAGTGGCTGTTTTGAAGCTTCACATATATTCTCCTAGCAACTGCAAGTCTACAACCTTAAACTGATTATAACGTGTCGTGATGCGCTAACACAAATGACCAACACAATGCAAACAAGTCGTAAAGAAAAGCAAAGCAACTAGTACTCTAGTGGCTACACCAGAGACCACTCACTTGAAACGACCCAATCACATACAAATCAAATAGCCAAAACCCAAACTTATAGTCCTACCTATGCACGATTGGTGAAGCTCGCAGCTCACACCATTCGATCAATTCGAAACAAACCAACCACTAATGATGCACGTATTCTAAGAAGATAGAGGAGCCGACAAATCCATCATACAGCATCAAATAACCCCCAAAAAAATCGCATACAGAACATATACACAACAATACCTGCACGGGATTGTAGAACACTTCATTTGCTGCTATTTTCTTGTTGATGATGATCTCCGCCTCGCCTTCCCTCACAATCTCATAGTCCTTTAGCTTGTTCTCCACATCCTCCATCTCTCCGAATCCAATCCAATCCAACAAAAACCTCCCGATTCAAGCGACCTAACGAGAGACGCAGACCGTAAAGCATAAGGCGTGGGCAGAGATAGATGAGGAAGGAGGAGCGTGAGAACGGATGCTCACCACCAGATAGACCTCTGATGCAGCGGGAGGACGCCGGCGAAGATAGGCGGTGCTCGGCGCAGAAGGCGGGGCGAGCTCGCGAAGAAGAGACGGGGAGGGGAGTCTATGCCGAGGCGACGGCGGCGTCGAACTAGGGTATAGGGTAGAGAGGAAGGAAGGAGACAGGATGGGCCCAATTATGATGTGCCGTGATCACTATGGGCTTTTTGTATGAATTAAGTTCACTTTAGGTCCCTTCGTTTATCGCCTAGTCTAAAATTCATCCCACATGTCAATGGTCAGCACTTTCTTCCTCCTCTCTTGCCACCTATCTTCCTCTCTCTTTCCATCTTCAGGACGCCGCCTAGCAAGTGGCGTGGAGAGCGCGTGGTGGACGACGTGGAGAGGGGCTGCGAGAGCGCCACCCCTGCTCCACCTTCCTTTCTGGCTTGCACACGACTGGTGTTCGACTGGTTTGCTATGATAGGCTCTCCTAGCTTGCACTTCGCCCCAATAGCACGGACATGTTGCCAAATGCTATAATCAGCATAACCAGCACCCCACACATACATCACACAATCAAAGACGCGTACTTTTTGGGAATAAATCAGAAGGATCACTCGGATCACAACGTTTCAACTAGTAGTAAACAAGAGGAGGAGGAGAGATATAAAAGGCACACCTTTAGGACGGAGGTTGGCCTTATTCCCTCGGGACTTGAACACGGGGCGATGATTTTGGGAAGCAAGTCTCCGTGAGCCTGCTAAAGATGGCTAGTCCCCAGGGCCGCTGCTCGCGAGGTGGCGGCGGTGGCGGTGGAGAATGGGCGAAGCCCGATCAAATCTATTACTTGATAAATAGCTATGCAAGGACAAAGAGAGAGAGGAGAAGCATGACGTGTGGCGCCTCGGAGGAGAACCCCCCACCGTCACCGAAGTCATCGAGGATAGTGGCAATATAATACGGCTCGTCGGAGAGCTTCGAGGAACACCATGGGGGAAAAGATCCTACAAGGTTTGGGTGGTCTAGGGTTTTTTTGGAAGAGTGAGAAGAAAAATGAGCTAAAGTGGGGGCAGCCTGCGCCCCTATCCTGGCAATCGCCACCACCACCACCGCCGTATCTACTAGCCTGCGCGGTCACCTCGCTCTAGCTGTTCCTCTCCGCTCCTCCTACCCCTCGGACGGATGCCTTGGGGCTCGGGCTTAGGGCTGTCAACGAGCCGAGCTCGAGCGAGCTCGTCTGCCCAAGCTCGAGCTCGAACGAGCTCGAGCCGAGCTTGTCTAAAAGCTCAAAGGTAGAATAGGCTCAGCTCGAGCTCGGCTCGAGCTCGGCTCGAGCTCGTGTACCTGCTGGAACTGGTCGCCGTGGACCTGGAGCTGTGCCTTCAGTGAGTCTATCTCACTGCATAAACCCTAAACCCTACAACTTTTAGACCTATTCTACCTTTGAGCTCGTTCTACCTATTCTACCATAACCTAGAGCTCGGCTCGAGCCGAGCCTATTCTACCTTTGAGCTTTTAGACAAGCTCGGCTCGAGCTCGGCTACCGAGCTCGGTCATAAGTAGTATAATATATATTTTAATGATAATTTTTTGATAAGTATAATTATTTTCTAGTTAATCACACTAATAAAAGAGTAGAAAATGATTAAAATAAATATATTATGCTAACACATGCTAATTTATTGTGTAAATAGATACTAATATATATATATATTTACCTATTAGTTTATTATATCAATAAGGTGAACATGCAATATGAACTATAAATAGTCAAGCTCGGCCAGGCTCGGCAAAAGCTCGAGCTCGGCTCGGTAAAGCTCGCGAGCTTTTGCTCAGGCTCGGGTTCGGCTCGTTTGAAGCTCGAGCCGAGCTCGAATCGAGCCTAGGACGAGCCAAGCTCGAGCTGCTCGCGAGCCTCGAGCTTTTTTGACAGCCCTCCCGGGCTCTCCTCGAGCGGGGGTCGCTACCAGCACCGTTGTTGAGAGGGGAGAAGGACGAGGAAGAGAGGGAAGAGGTGGATGCTGATACGTGGGGCTCACAGGGGTCCCACGTTGACTTAGCATAGCTAATTGGAGTCAAAGCGCCAAGTAGGACGAAATCAAGAACTATATTGCCTTGGGACGAAAGTTGATACGGATTTGCGAGTTCGGGACGGTCTATACATGCTACTGTGGTTTAAGACGAATTTTAGTCTGGGCGACAAATTAGGGGACCAAAAGTGAACTTATTTCTCTTTAGCCGTCAGAATTGACTACGGCCCAATAGACCCAATAGCCCAACAGGAAACACATTCTGAACAGCCCGTTAACCCCTAACCCTTCCACGCTGTCTTCTCCACTCCCACCGCCGGCCTCCCAACCCGCCGCCGGCGACGATTCCGGCGAGATACCTGGTCGGCGGACACCGGCTCCCGCGGGTACGAGCCTTCTCTAGACGGGCTGCGTCTCTGTCCATCTCTTCTTCTTCTCCAACATGAGGCCCCTCGCGATACGGCGGCGGGAGGCGCGGCTCCTCCCACCCCTCGCCGTCCTCGTCCGGTCCATGGCGTACGTGGACGTGAAGATGCGATGGAAGAAGGACGCCTCCTTCGACGCCGTCCCCGTGCTGTCCCAGGCGCGGGACCTCCGCCCGCTCGTGTCCCTCGCCGGCCTCCTCTCGCCGTCGCCGACCCCCGTCTCCGCGGTCTCCAAGCTTCGCATCCCGCTCGAGGTCCCCGACCGCCGCGTCATCTCCTTCCTGCGGCGGTTCCCCGCCGCCTTCGTGGAGTCCGTCGGGCCGGAGCACAACCACCCCTGGTTCCGCCTCTCGGGCTCCGCCGCCGGCCTCCTGCAGGAGGAGCGGGAGGTCTTCGCCGCGCGGCGCGCGGACATCACCTCCCGCCTCGGCCGCCTCCTCCTCATGGCCCCGCGCCGCCGCCTCCCGCTCCGCGCCGCGCAGGGCATGCTCTGGCACCTCGGCCTCCCGGAGGACTACTTCAGATGCCGGGACTATGACATCGCGCAAGACGGATTCCGGATTCTCACCATTGGAGACAGTGTTTGCCGTGAGGAGGAGGAGGATGATGGGAGGGAGCTTGTGCTCATTGATAATGGGGAACACCAAGAAATGCCAAAATCAGTGCTCCAAATGGATGCCATAAGGAGATTTGGGTCCATGGAGACGGTGCCGATCCCCCTCTTCCAGTCAAAGGGGCTCCGGCTGAAGCAGAAGATCGAGGCATGGCTGGAGGGGTTTCAGAAGCTGCCTTATGTCTCTCCCTATGAGGATTTCAGCGGCATTTATCGCGACAGCGATGTTTCGGAGAAGCGGGTGGTCGGGGTGCTTCATGAGCTTCTTAGTCTGTTCGTGACATGCTCTGCCGAGAGGAGGCGGTTACTTTGCCTCAGGCAGCACCTGGGGCTGCCACAGAAGTTTCACCGTGTGTTTGAGCGGCATCCGCATGTTTTCTACTTGTTGTTGAAGGAGAAAACATGCTTTGTTGTCCTCAAAGAGGCATACCTGGCTCGGGGAGACACTGCAATTGAAGAACATCCCATGCTGGTGGTGCGGAGGAAGTATGCAGGGTTGATGGAGGAGTCGCGGGAGATCATAAGGTGCCGGCGGAGTGGGAAACCTTTTCCGTCGAAGCATAAAGATCATGAGCAGATTGAGGATTCTGAGGGTGCAAATTCTGCTCCAATTTTGTCATAGAAAGCTAGAACTTTGCCTGGTCAGAAAAAATGAGGGCATATGCAGTATGATTTTCGTGATAATACCAAGGGGGATTCTACTCTTGGAAGTATATGGCTGCTTGTTAGGAATATTTGTGTAGAAAGACAGGAGGGTGTACAAACAGGTTGGTGACTGATGAAATTAAATTGCATTATCATTTTATCTGATCTCTGCAAGTCATTTTGGTTTGTGCACAGTAGTACGCACTGGCGGCACTGCAAAGCCACATTTACATCAAGCCTTTGTAAAGTCCAACTATATCATTTAGCCACCACTTACTCACAATCTTTTCATCAAATCATTGCAAATCTCAATCACCTTTCTTAAAAGGGCATAGATTGCTGAATTTGATTTTGTCCATACTTTTTACATATAAAATTCACCAAGTATGCTGCAACTTGTTGCTGATTTGAATTTTAATTGTCAATGGCTCCTGTATTTATGTCCATGCTTATGCCTCATGGTTGGTATTGCACTTTTACAGTTGTCGTAACTCAGTATCTCCCTTTTTATGGCATGGAGATAACTGGATGCACTACATTTCCTTAGGCTGAGGTCTTCACTTCTTGGCTGGCAAATGTTTTATGGTGTTTGTTTGGTTAATGTGGTAGAGTTACAAAACAGATAACATGATTTCCATTGCTGGAAACTTTTTGTGTAACATTATGCGTGCAATTGTCAGTTTCCAGAATGAGAATCAAGCTTTCGTTTGCATGCACCAGTGGATTATTTAACTTAAATTTCTCTGTTGAAGTACTTGTCCTGTTTTAACATCTACACAATCGGATGAACATTAGTTGTTTATATTGCGCCTTAACTAATTTAGATAATCCTAGCTTTTTTGTTTGTTTGTTTTTGTTTTTTTTCCTTGGCAGGGAGATCATAGTTTGTTTTGGTGCTGTCTGTCTTGGTAGTAAGCAGTATGACAATCGATCAATTGCGAGAAATTAGATAGTTGTGATTGGCAGATGCCATAGTCAGGGCATTAGCTCTTTGTGCTATTCTGTTTGTTGTGATTGCTGAATTAGATCAAGACCACATTCAGTTATGTCAACCAGGGAAGAGTGTTCGTTGTTGTCAATGTTTCTGTAACTTGATTTTCTTGTATAAATTTTCTCCAACTACTGATTAGCACTCTCTCCACTCGCTTGCAAAAGGTACAGTGTGAGATTTTCTGATATCACATCTTCTCCTTCACATTTTCTAAATTTAAAGCTAACAATAATTTCTTCATTTCTTGCTTTTGCAGAGATTAGTATATCACTATTCCCAAACTGGTGTCTACTCTTTACCGTCTTTCCTGGAGAATAATTGCTGCAAGCTTTGGAATGTGTAGTTTTTTTTTCATCGAGTAATTCATCCACATTTTCAAAAGCGCGGTGCTTCTCTTCTTTGAACTGGATTATCGAGTTAGCTTGTGAACTTGTCAGAATCTTGTATACGTTCCAATCATGGGACACAGATCTATGTGAAATCGTAAATTCTGAATGTACACATTTCCAAGCTATCTCGACATTTTCACTTTGAAATCTTAAACCAAATCATTTGACCAACTTCACAAAATTCTACAGAAAAGATAGGAGAATTTGCACGCCTTCATAGATGGGCCGATAGCCCATCTGTATTGCAGCCCACTACACCGGAAAAAAGAAAGAAAAGAAAAAAAAAAGAATGGAAAGGCAACACCGCCTATCCCTCCATTTCCCAAGGCGGCAACGCGCGTCGCACGCCACGCGGCACCATTTCGCTTCGCCTTCCCCGGCAAAATCTCCCCAAAAAAATTCGAAACCGCGCCGACGCCTCCGCTTCACGAAACCCCAACCGGCGACGCGGCGCGCTCGCTCCGACGACCATGTCCTTCCCCGACGAGGAGGAGGACGAGGCCTTCCTCCTCGCCGTAGCGGCCACGGAGGAAGCGGCGCTGGCCTCCTCCGACTCCTCCAAGCGCCGCCGCCTCTCCATGACCTCGTCGACCTCCTCGTCACCGACTTCGGCCACTCCTCCCCCCGCCGCCGTCCCCGAGGGGCCCTACCTGGCCGCGCTCAAGGGAAGCCACAGCTCCGCCTGGAAGCAGCAGCAGGAGACGCTGAGCCAGGCGCGCAAGCGTCCCGGTGGGTCCCAAACCCTAGCCACCCCAGGTAGCGGCAGCGGCAGCGGCGGCGCGCAGGTCGCGAGGGGCGGCGCGTGCTTCAAGTGCGGGGACTCTTGCCACTGGGCAAGAGAATGCCCGCAATCCGTGCCAGCTACTGGCGGCGGAGGAGGAGGCGGGGCCTTTGGTGGAAGCGGAGGAGGGGGTGGTGGGTATGGGGACGCGGGTGGGGCGGTGGAGGAGAAGGCTTGCCCCTGCGGCGCCGGGAGTTGCCTAGTGCTCACATCCAACACGCCCAGGAATCCGGGCCGCAAGTTCTACAGGTGCCCCATGCGGGTGAGCATTACGAATCCCATCACCCTGTACTGTAATTGGGTAGTATCGCTTCAAATCTATGTGGTCTGATAACGATGGTTCGCAACACATTGGATCCCACTTAATAAAAACATAGAGCCTAGACACACTTGCAATTATGTAGAGGGGATATGAGACCTCTAGGGGGTTTAGTTTTTCATGATGTTGTGCCAAATTGTCAAAGTGATAAACTGATTATACCGTTGCCGTTAGTGAGGCTTGCTGGCTTATTGGTCGGTGTTCCCCACTCTAGTGATCTTTATTTATCGTGGCACATCTGTATATGATTGAAATCATACTTTAAAATATCTTAGCACACCTCAGACTTCTAATCAGAATGGTGATACATATTTGCGATATGAAACCATAAACATGATAACTATTAAAAAAACCATAAACATGGTATGTGTCTCTGCCTTAGTATAATTTCCCATTCTGTTGTCTTAAGGCCAGTTCAGCGTGGTACTGTTGTTTTGTGGAGTGTAATCTAATTAGAGAGACCGGTCAACCAATTGTACTAGGACTAGACAAATTTCCTGTGCAACTGAGTGGAGTTTGATTGTAATTTATTGAAAGTAGAATTGTGTTTGCTATAGAACACCTGTTTATTTATTCTGAAAATACAATTGTATATATTATACAGTTAACATCTGTAGCAGTGATCTAATATATCATGTCAATCTACACCATTAATACAGACCCACCAAGATTAGTAGCATAGGTTTTTCTTATTTTCTATGATTAGCGTGTAAATTCTAGCCGCTGAGAATGAACGTTGTGGCTTCTTTTGAGTTAGTTTTAATAGTATAATAACTACCTGGGTCTTATACAGCCAGCTTATATCCATTTACTTTATGTTATATCTATTACGAATTATAGTCATACCTAGACTGAATTTGACATGGACTCTTATTCTTAGATCTGAAAATTCAATTATTTTGAAATTTTATTTTTGGCACGATTCATTTTTTTTTTCAACCTAAACTGTTATAATTTGGACTAACCACAAAACTAATGGTGTATATTTTATTCCTTTTCTCCTATCAACTGATAAGTTTTAGACCTTGAGAGCAAGTGTATATTATTTGTTACTATTTTTATGAGACAAGCCTGTTGTGCTCTAAACAAGAGGTTATGAATTTGATTGCATATCGAAGGCAGTAAACAAAAATGTTGATCTAAAGCCACCAGGCCATTCTAAAATACTCCCTCCATACTCGTAAAGGAAGTCGTTTAGGACAATGTTTAAGTCAAACCTTGGGAATATAAATCATAAATAACTCTCAAGTTATTGAGTTTGAAAAGGCAAAAGTTATATGAATAGATTTGTCTTGAAAAATACTTTCATAAAAGTATACATATATCACTTTTAAATAAATATTTTTATAGAAATAAGAAGTCAAAGTTGTGTTTTGGAGACCGTGTCGCTGTCCTAAACGACTTCCTTTATGAGTACGGAGGGAGTATTGATTTGGAGAGGCTATGAAGTTCTGTTTCACCAATCACTACTTGACCACATTATTACTCGATCATCTGTCTTGATGGGGGAACTTCTATTCAGTTGGAACATGGGATGCACATCAGCTCCACATGCATTCATGCATAACTACTTTGTATCCTTAATACGTAATCATTGTTTAATATTTCTGATGTGTATGCATGTACCGTTGCACCTCCAAAGCCTTACACTGCATGATCATACTCTGGTGTTCATGTGGCTGATGCCTTGTGTAACCTTTGGTAGAATATGCCAGCCAATAAAGGATTTATGTCGTGTCGGCTGATACAGTGTGCTTGGAATTACATGTGGTTAATCTAAACCGGTCATTTTATTTCTTAGGCCAGATAACTAGTTGTCTAGTTACTTTTTCTCCTTTACTTTTTTGCTTTTCCTATTTTTTTTGATTTATTTCTTTTATGTTATTTTTATTGCCATTAGGACAATGGAGGTTGCAACTACTTTGAGTGGTGTGATAACCCATCTCCAGGTCCTGCAAATGTCAGTGGCAATACTGTTTTTCAGTCAGATACATCAGTTGCGCATATGCTTTGCCCCTGTGGTGCTGGAGCTTGCTTAATTCTCACCACAAAGACAGGAAAGAATGTTGGAAGGCAGTTTTATCGTTGCCCAGCTAATCAGGTTCATTCATGACCCTGTTTATCCTCCCACCCTCTCTCTTCCTCTCTTCTTTCCTCACCCAACAAAGCAGGGAAAGTTGTTTTACTGTACAATATTATGCTGATATCCCCTATAAAATGAGTTCTGGTACTGTGTTGATTATCTACAGCTGTCTCATTCTTGCTAAATGAGTGCGTCATTTGCTAGGCCCAGTATGATTATCATCAATAACTATAGTACCTACAGATGGAAGTTACTTTAGTGCTTTGGATTGTACCATGGGAATTTTGAACTGTTTATCTTGTGAATAGGACCAAGATACTGCTCACCTTATGTTAGTCTAGAAGATGTGGACAGTATGATGGTTACAGTTGCACAGTGCATTCGTGAACTAAGATTTTTTGGATCAGTTTGCCGCTGTTGTGTTGTGTGCTGCCATGCTTAGTATGAAGGTGTTGCTGAAAAGCAGTTGTGAGTAACATTGAGCCGTCTTATAATATTTATTACATTATACAAACTGTTATCCAACTGCTTGTTTCTCCACCTGTTCTGCCATTTGAAATACCCAAATACGTCCATTTAAGACTTGGTTTAGAAGACAGCAGCTAGCCAGCTGATTTAGTTTTGGTTCAACTTGGTTCCAGGGCTGGTTAACACGATTATTCTTGATGATGATGATAGTTTGCTTACTAGTTTAAATACGCTCAATATAAATTCTCCCCAGTTTCCATTGATTGGTTGATGCATTTGGTGTGACCCCATAGCTGGACTCAATGTCCTACTTTTAATGCTTTATGTCCAAAACCCGTAGTACTTCTAATGTTAACAGTGCGTTCTTCTTACCCTTGCAACTTCGTATTTTATTGTTACAATTCTATGTCTTGTTTGCTCTTCATACCAAAATGTTCTTTTGCATTTGCTTTAAGAGATATAGTGGTAAGTTCCTATGTGTAGTTAAATCCTTTTGTTCTAGTGGAGCACTTATTTCTATCTGCACCTTTCTGGATAGCAATTGATGCTAGGATATGATATCATCACTTGTTCTGTTTTACCTTTTTCATTATTGTTATATTCTTGTATGCATTTTTTTCGAAACTAGGGCATTTCATATCTCTTTCTTAATGTACGATCGGGACATATCTCCAGGGAGGTAGCTCTTGTGGCTATTTCAAGTGGTGTGATGAACAACAGCTTAGGACAGCTGCTCCACTGCAAGCTTCAACACAATATCATACTGATGTTGCTTCAAGTGGCCAAATTCCCAGCAAGAGGAGCTCCTCCGCCTGCTTCAAATGCGGGCAAGAGAACCATTGGGCAAAGGACTGCCCAAATCAATCTTCAGATCCTTATCCTGACAAAGGTGGGAGAACATTTACTTCTGCAAGCTCTCCCGATGCGTGTTTCAAGTGTGGTAAGAGCGGGCACTGGTCCCGTGATTGCCCCACCGCAAATTGTGGTTCTAGTACCGTCTCCAGCCATGTCAAGTCCTCTTCTACTTTGGGCTCATGGAACAGCCACAGATACTGATAGCCGGTACCTGTGAACTCAATTGAACTGACATGGACATGCTGTACGAAACTTGGACAAATGCACATGACACGTGTTGCTTAGGTACGCATTCTTGCCAAATTCCTTTTGCTACTTTTAAGTTTGGTAATGAGTTTTTACTGAGGACATTTCCGTCTTCATGCTGGTTGCTCTGGGAATCTTTTGTCATCTGCTCTAGACATTTCCACTGATGTAGATATAAGAAAAATCAGCACTATGTTCAATTCTATGCTCTGTTTTCGTACTGATTTCATGTTCATTTTCGTGCTCCTTTTGAAAGCTTTATTTGGATATTTACATGAGTTAGATTGAATGCCCATTTAAAAGTTTAGACCCTGGGACCTGTAGGGTAGTTAATAGATGAGGTAGATATGGTGCCCTTAAAACTTTAGGGCCTGGACCCTGAACTACACTTTAATATACAACCTTACCTTCTGACAAGGCTAAGTGAAACACCCACAAAAAGATTGGGAACAGTTGTTCTGTTGGGTTGGATAAACTTAATACTATCACCCACTGTGCCATTCATAGGACCCGTCTATTAAAGGATAGGAACAAAGGCTGACCATTCACTCACTGCGCCAAGTGGGGAGAATGCTATTCACTCAAGGCCACAGAAGCTCACATGGTCATGAGCTCGTGAGGGCAAGGAATCTCCTCTCCCCTGGATATTAGTTATCATCAGTAGTAGCAGCAGCAGCAGCAGTAGTAGTAGACAGCCGTAGTAATCATCTTTGCACAAGGATGTGGTCCTGGTTGCTGGTGCCCAGCCAATTGAACTGCAGGATGGTTGGTGCCATGACATGTGCTTATTGTTTGCCCCTGCAAGGCTTTGAATAGTCACTGGCCAACACTACCTGCCATCACAGGTCGGTTTCCCTCAGCGATCTTGGGGTCCCCTATGCGTAGATCTGAGATGCCTCCACTAACCTCGCTGGGAGCTTGATTTGCTGTTTATTTGTTTGCTGTCTGTTCGGTCGGTCTTTTGCAGTTGTTACTTTGCACTCAGTGCTTCGCCTCTAGGCTCAAGGGAGGGCCTGATTTAGTTACTCCATAGTCAACTAGATAGAAAATTTTAAACATCTCTCTGGTAATTTATATATGCCCCTATAACATACTCAGTGCTTCCGTATAGTCTGGTAATTTTTGCTTGGTCTTTGACTAGAACATGAATCCAACGGTTTATACTAGTTGCCTGCATCCAACGGTGCTTGATTTGTGGCCTACGTGGCTCAACCAAGATCCGAGAAAGATTTTATTCTTTCACTACTTTAGATCAGATAGAGTTCCTCCAAGGAAATCTTTCAGAGTCACTAGACAAAGTGTTGTCATGATTCTTGATTAGTCCCCATAGCCTGCACTTAGCGGTAGTGAACCTCTTGAAATTCTTTATGGCCCCTTGGGAGCACATGAATTAGTTCAATTCCTACGAACTTCCTCTTCCCCCCCCCCCCACCCCAAAAAAAAAATGCCTATATCCTGACTGTAACAGTCAGTTGTTGCTACAAATCCTCCCCGGTGTGACTGTAACAGTTCGTTGCTGAGTTGCATGGTTGCATGCATGCATCAACTCATGAGTCAGTCATTACACGATGGGAAGCATTTAGGAGTACTTTCGTGGCACCCAGCAAAACATGACAAGCAGCCGAGGACGCTGGGCCTGCCTGTTCGAGCTGCCACTGCCGCCTGCATCATCCCAAGGAGGACCACCACCCGGGAGAAGTGGAACTGGATCGATTGGCAAGAACACGAGGCCGCGGGGGCCACAGCCGTGAAGCGCAGCGAGACAAATCCCATGGGGCCTCTCCTGCCTCTCCCCTCTCTTAAATGCCCCTTTGGCCTCGGCCTCCCCGGACCCCGGTGGTGGATTTCGCTAAGGCCTTCTTCGGTCAATCCCTACGAGATCTTATTCGGTTAATCCCTGTGAACAATCCCCTCTAAACCGAACAAAAGCGAACAAAAGGCCTAAGTTTGAAAAGGAGAGAAGAGTAGTACAGTACTGTAGCAAAGATGCCGGCGAGCGACACGCTCACCCACCCTCCTCTGCGCCGGCCCCCAGCCTACAGGGGCATATGGCTCCAGCACGGCGTGTACAACAACGTAGTGCTCGGGGCATCCACTGTGCGTGCCGGCCCGCCCCTCCCTGTCCCTGTGGATGTGGCCTCCAGCTGATTGATGCCTTTGCTTGTTATTATTGCTGCTGGTAGGAGAAGTAGTGCATCCCGTTATTTTCAGCCACTTCACTCTATTATTGCCGTGGATTTTTTTTACCTCTATTTTTTTTTCTATTGCATAGCTTAGCCCCCTTTCCTAAGCTACTCCCTCCGTCCCATAATAAGTTACATTGGGACGAAGGGAATAATTGTTTACTTTATTTCTTAAAATAGTTAATTTATCCTTACAATTAAGTAGATAATTTGTATCAATAATCTAGTAAAAAAATCAACAAAATTTTGAGATGTGGTCTATGAGTGATCAGTCAGTGAGAATATGAAGAAGCTAGAGTTAACTGGCTCCTGAATACCGATATGAGTAAGAATATGGATTATTTGGGGATAATTGGAGATTATAGGGATAACTTTTGCTGTCACAAGTTCCCCATAACATGGGTTTAGACTTTAGAGTAGCATGGTTTGGCCATTTAGGGTCTCTTGCCTGCTACTCCTTCGGTATTATTATTGCTGTTGACTTGGTGCTTCTGCTGTTGCCGACTTTGCCATGAGCCATGATGATTGTGCTCTCATACATGGGGTGGCCGGGTGGGCACTCATCAGGGGGAGGAGGCATCCTTCCATCTTGTCACGCCAAATGGGGTTAACCCCGGGGAATTTTTTCCCCTTCTCTCATCACTCACCTCTCTGAAGCCGATCCACATCGGTGTGTATGTCACATCTGCCGATGGTCTCTTCGCTCCCTTTCTCCCCGTCACACTTTGCTTCTCCCTCACTCACTCACAACCTCTTCTTCAAATGCCTCTGTTCTTTTTGCGACTTCTACTACTGTTGCGTAATAATTGTAGTACTAGTAATTCAATGGTCGATTTGGCCACAGTAATTCCTCTTTAATTTAATGGACTAGACATCTGTTACTATCATCAGTGAACTGTAGTACTCCCTTTCAGAATATAAGGATTTTTTTTCTTGCGCTGATTCTCATCATTTCGATTTTTGCAAAGCCAATTAAATATTTGGAAAGGCAATCTAAATAATTCAACAATTGACAATTGAAATGAAACATTACTGTTTGCTAAGGGCCCCTTTGAATTGCAGGGTAGAAAAAACGGAGGAATAGGAAAAACATAGGATTCTGACAGGAATTGAAGTGTAAAACAGAGGATTGCAAAACACAGGAAAAACACAGGAATGGTCGTTTGATTCGAGTGCAGGAAAAACGCAGGAATCGGATGAGAGAGATAGACTCAAAGGAAATTTTCCAAGAGGTTGGAGCTCTTGCTAAATTTCCTCCAAAATCTACATGCAATGTGTCATTCCATAGGAATTTTATAGGATTTGGAAAGCTTCAATCCTTTAAATCAAAGGGCCAAATAGGAAAATTTCCTATAGGATTTGAATCCTATGAAATTCCTACATAAATCCTTTGATTTAAAGGGGCCCTAAACAATGTAGAAACTCTTATATTTTCGAACGGAGGGGTTTACGATTTTTTTGAGCTCCAATCCAGACAGTGTGAGGATTGGATTGGGGCGTGATGAATTATCAATCAGCTTGTGGAGCACAGTTGAAGGAATGGTACAAGGAGAGATGGCATGGACCACTACTCCTTTCATCCTTTGGCCATTGAAAGGTGAAGTGTTGGGAGATTGAGAGAGATGGGGTAAGCTGTAATAACAAGTGAGGGAGGCCAAGACAAAACAAGCCGAGACGCGCACATAAACAAAATTTCCTTTCGCTTTGAGTTGGAAACACGTCCTTTTTGGACTGAAACTTGATGGATGTGTCCCTGTTCGGGACAAACTCGTAAGGTGGACGTGACAGCGCGACGTGCCCATCCAGATCTGCCGAGATTTTACTACTACCATCACTCGTGAGGGAGAAACAAACCTTTCTCCCTATTGCTTCAGATCATACTAAGGGCCCCTTTGATTTGTAGGAAAAATGTAGGAATTTTGGAGGATTTCAATCCTATGGAAAAAAAATCTTATGAAGGCCTTTGAGACAAAGGATTGAATCCTATCCAATCCTTTAAAATTCCTATGGAATGGGTAATCCTATGCATATTTTGGAGGAAAGTTAGCAAGAGGTCTAACCTCTTGGAACATTTCCTCTGAGTCTATCTCTCTCATCTGATTCCTGCGTTTTTCCTGTGGTCCAATCAAACAGCTATTCCTGTGTTTTTCCTGTGTTTTGCAATCCTCTGTTTTACAATTGTATTCCTGTCAGAATCCTGTGTTTTTCCTATTCCTCTGTTTTTTCATTCCTACGATTCAAAGGGGCCCTAAGATTTTACTACTACCATCACTACAACACCAACCTATTGTACTACTACTAATGAATTCCACTTGGAGCCAATAGTATTCCTCCCTTCTCCTGCACTTTAGGAGGTAATAATGAGTTGCTAACTAATTAATCCAAGGCCTCCATGGCTCCAACTAACTAGTAATAATCTTTTGCAAGAGTCTTTTTTTAATATATATATAGCGGATAAAATTTGGTCTTTGCTTCGTAATACTCCCTCAGTTCCAAAATATAAATTTTTTTTGACCTCAACGCAGTTTTCTTGATACTACTTTGAACAATAATATCTATAAAAGTAATATATTTTAAATAAAATGAGTGGCATATGTTGATAGTTTGTTGAATGATAAATCTACTAGTAACATCAAAGTTGCATGATTGATGTTTTTTATTTTTATATGATATTAATAGTCAAAGTTAAAAATGTTTGATTTGTCGCTATTCTAAAAATCCTTACATTTTGGGATGGAGAAAGTACTTATTATGGTCTGTTTGGTACAACTCTAGAGATGGAGCTGAGTCTATCCAAATAGTTTCAGCTTCGTCTAAAATGGAAGCAGAGCTAGGGTTTACAAAACCGCACGGTTACCATGCGGTTATCGCGGTTACCATGCACGGTAACCTTTTTAGTTTTTGAAACCACGGTATGTCTCGCGGTTACCACGCGGTAACCGCGCGGTTACCGTGGGGGTGCAGCAACCACGCCAAAAAGAGGGTTACTGTGGGGGTGCAGTAACCGCGCCAAAAAGGGTAAGGGGAACCCTGAGTAGAGCTAGGTGGAGCGCTCTCATAATGTGAACCGGGGTTTAGGCTGCTCCACAATTCTATTCCAGACTCAACTCCTAGAGTAAATTTAGGAGTTGAAGCTCTACCAAATAGACTCTTATAAAGTACTTAGCTCCAGACAAGTATAAAAGATTAAAAGTATCTTAACTAGTTATCCTCTGTGTCTTGAGTGCTAAAAGAGTTTATACTGCAAGTAGCGTTTAGATTAGCAGTCTCACGTGGTGGCCTCTCTGAACTCTCACACCCTAGAGGTTCTGCTGCCAAATTGTTTTACTTGCAGCTTTCTACAAAGGGTAACTAGCAGATGTTATGCGACCAGGAAGGACAGGTCACATTTGGCATCTTGCGAGGGATAGTTTTGTGGGTCTGCTTTGGGGACCCATCTAGGTATCCCCTGTTAATGACCAGCTTAGAGAATCCCTTTTGGTGCTGAATTAGTTAGCTACTTGTTGTAGATGCTCCTGTTGGAATATGTGTCCAGATCTTTATATGATGCATACTCCACGACTAGACTAAAGATAACCAGTAAAGGCTTTTGTTTGGATTGATGCCCAAAAGAACCTTTTATAACAAAATTAAGAATACTACAAGCGTTCAAGTAAACCCAATCATGCAAAATACGCTAGCTATCCTGCTAGTGTTGGTAATGATTGTAGAATTTATCCTTAGCTACCAGAAACTTGGTATGGAAACAACTTTAATGTAAAAAAAAAAAATCAGCCCTAGCAACTTTCAAAATTCTGACTTTAATTTGTCAGCAAAATTGTTCAACTTTATTAACCTTTTTTGGTAATGGTCAACAGATCAAATCAAACAACCCATAAAATCTCTCAAAATTGGGTATTTTCTACTACTGATGTGTGTTCGTGGAGGAGTGCATGCGTGCGTATAGCACATGACCTTCGCGTCCATTTATTATTATTATTGTCCTGGCTGTTGGATGCTACCAAGATCGCGGCAGCAGAACAGCTAAGCGAGCTCCTGTAGCTGGATAACACCTCTCGGGCCAGTTGCCGCGAACGCATCTCCTTTTATCTGGTGAAATAATTAGGTAATCAGAGTACAAATAAATTTGATGTGAATCGTTTTATCCCCTTGCACTTAACATCACTTAGGAGCACATATAGTAGCTTTTTTTTTTGTTGTTTCTCTCTTTAAAACGTGCATTAGTAATAGCAAAAAAAAAAACGACTTGCATGAAAGGTTAATAAAACTCTGCTGTTACTCGACTCTGTTGGGTGTGAGTGTGACTTTTGTGTTGAATTCCTTTGGTTTTTAAGGCATTTACGTTCTTGGTAAACGAGTTTTACTTTAATATATGTTGCAAAAGATAATATTATTGTTTAGAAAATAAAAATAATCAGGAGAGGCATAACATTTGAATACATTCTTTTTTTGTATAATCTTAGATTGATATGTAAAACAAGCTATAGCAATTACTCCCTTCGTCCTATAATATAACAACATCCTGGATACATCCTAAAACAAACTATGAATCCTCATAGCCCCTGTTCAAATCGATAGCAGTAGGATATGTTATTTTAGATGTTACTGTCTCTCCATTTTGTATTATAAAACTACGAATCTCGATAGCCCTCCTGTTCAGATTGATACTAGTATGATATTTCATCCGATTCTAGTTTACTCCGTTTAGTATTATAAGTTGTTTGACTTTTTTCCTAATCAAACTAAATTTATTTAATTTTGACTAAATTTATATAAAAAATATAATATTACTTTCAAAACAAAACCTTCCATTTTGTGAAGTTAGTAGAAGAGGATAGATCCAGTAAATTGTAGTACATACGAATGTCAATCTTAATTATTGTAGATTAATACACTGGTAAGGGTCGATCAGGCAAATACCAAAGCTGACTCCCGAACAAAACAAACATATTATCAAACTATATTCAATGGTAAATTTAATGAAACTAATTTCATATTTTAGATGTTGAGATTTTTCTACAAACTTGATCAAACTTAACAAAGTTTGACTAGAAAAAGTCAAACGATTTATGATATGAATCGGATGGAGTATATTTTGGGACGGAGGGATTACAATCAAGGCCCCCCCCCCCCCCCACACGCACACACGCGCACACAAAAGCATGGTGCACGAAATCAATTATAAAATGAGTTCGTACTCTTGCACGTGTTGTATGTACGACTTCGGTACAGAATCACCAAGTCGTTACAGTAGACCAAATTCATTTCACTATGCACACAGCTCTCCTGTGTGTTCCTGCTAATGATTCAGATCCACTTAATTCTGTTGCAGCAGTTGGCTAGGCAAAAAAGGTAGTGGGCACCTCTCGTACCACATTTACCAAAAATCACATGCAAATGCGGGCAATGTATCAAGTACTAACATTATATGGGAGATGCCGATAGTTGCAGCTTCAAGAATCTCTAGCTTACTTAAACAATTCAGATTTTCATTTAAATTTTGAGAACTGTAGTTATTGAATTTAGAAAATGAATTAAATTTGGTTGTGTGTCTAAAAGTGGAGGCCGAAATGTAAATAATTTTCACTATCTAAAGGAGAAAATAAACTAGAAACAAAAAATTAGAAAACTTATTTTCTAGATTTTCATCAGCTAGCTACTTGGCTGTTTTACCAGATTGTTGGTTATGAGTGAGGGAACTCCAACTCGAATAATTATATGCTTGGTTTATCAAGCTTGATTTTTTTTTCTAAATTAGAACTAGCATAGATTAATCTTGTTGGCACGCTTTTTAAATTGTTAAATGCGTTTTTTTTAAGTAAGAGGTTGTAGGGTTGAGAGTGTCCTACCTCGTTTTAGGTGTGTCTGAAAAAGCTAAGCCATCGTAGTCAAACTCCATACACCATTCTTAGACCAGGTTTTAAATACTGTATTTTAGACCATAAACTCAATATATAATGATGAGCTAAAAAAGAGTTTGGGCATGTCAGTAGAGGACCCAAGCACAAGCTCTGTTTGGCGTGCAAGTTGGCACCAGTCCTACATACTGTAGTACTCCAACGTACACGCCCACATTGCTGCCATCCACTGCGGCAGTGCTGCTTCTGCTGGTGGGCCCCACCTCGCTCCGCTGTGGGGCCCACTTCCGGTGGGGGCCAGAAATTATTGCGCACAAGACCCGCAGGCCCAATGGCGAGCCGCCACGTGTACCCGCGCCTCCCCTCCCCGGCCAATCGGGAGGCCTCGTCCCTCTGGGATCCACCTGTCGGTGGCACAGAGACCTCCCCACACACGCTCGTCTCCCACTACACGCCCCCCCGCATATATTCCCGTCGCCACCACGGCGCAACTGCGCGACCGGACCGACCGAGACCGCCTTGTCTCCTCCTTTTCTTTCCCTACTTTTTTTTCTCCACTCGTGTGTAGTGAAAAAAAAATCGCCCACTTTAATCATATTCCCTCTGTCTCAAAATATGACTGACGATTAATTTTAGCAAGGTCTCAAAATTAAAGTGTAGTATTTTTATCGACAAAATCATTTTTCATATATTCAAATGTTAAAAATCTAATGGTAGGAGTACTAATTAAATTGACATTAACCTAATTGCCGGTCAAATTCTGCAACAGTAGAATCGCACCTTTTTTAAAAAAAATTTAGCACGGAAGAAACTAATATGATTAATTAAATTTTGCATAGTACCGGTACTGTGTTGGATAGTTGTACGGAAAAGGCTATACGTACTAACTTTTTCTTACTAAATTCTTACTAACACTGATGTGTCATGCTATGAGTGCATCTAGATTTTTTTTTAACCTCCATCTACTTAAATCAAATGGTTGAGATGATTGTTATAAAAGTTTAGTAAGAAAAATTTAGTACATTTAGCATTGCTCAGTACTAGTGTTGTGACTCGACTCCAATAATAAAATAATAATATTACTATTCCATCTATTCATGTCCTTGCGAAGCCAAATAGCGCTGAGGCTACTGCTTGCAGCAACAATTCTTCCTTTTCTATTTCCATATATAGAAACACCAACCTCCTCATTTCCCCCCTGACCCCAACCCCAAACCCACTCTACTCTACTGTGCCTCACCTCTTGCCACTACTATTTCTAGTAGTCGTGTATCATCATTTCAGATATCATATCGCCACCTCTCGTTTTTTTAATAATATCAGCGGCGAGCGAGCGAGATGGACTCCCCGTCGCCTATGGCGGCGCAGGCGGCCGACCTGTCGCTGACGCTGGCGCCGTCGGGAGGGGGTGGTGGGGGAGGAGGAGGCGGCGGCGGTGGTGGGTCGTCGTCGGCGTGCATCGACGGCAAGGACGTGCGGCTGTTCCCGTGCTTGTTCTGCAACAAGAAGTTCTTGAAGTCGCAGGCGCTGGGCGGGCACCAGAACGCGCACAAGAAGGAGCGGAGCATCGGGTGGAATCCCTACTTCTACATGCCGCCGACGCCGCACCCCGCCGGCAATGCCGCCGCCGCCGCCGCGGCGGCGACGCCCGGTGGGATGTCGTCCGTCACGACGCCATCCGGGAGCTACGGCGTCGTCGGTGGTGCCGCCGTCGGGGCTACTGCTGGCGTTGGGGGCGGAGGTGGAGTGGGAGGGGGGCTTCTCCCGGCGCACGCGTACGCCGGGCACGGGTACGCCGCGGTGCCGACGTCGTTCCCCATCGCGTCGCACAGCTCGAGCGTGGTTGGCTCCGGTGGGCTGCAGTACTACGCTGGTACCGACTGCGGCGCGGCGGCGGCGGGTGCGGCGAAGACGACGACGACGGCGGCGGCGGCGGCGACGGCCGTGGCGGGGAGCGAGAGCGGCGTGCAGGTGCCCCGGTTCGCGACGCACCAGCACCATCTCCTGGCGGTGGTGAGCAGCGGGCGCGCGATGCTGGCGGCGCCCGACCAGCCGGGCGCCGGGCGCGACGACATGATCGACATGCTCAACTGGAGGCGAGGCTCCCACGGCCCCACCGCCTCCGCCGCCGCCACCACGCCCTCCCCGGCAAGCACCACCACCACGCTCACCACCTTCGCCAGCGCCGACGGCAGCAACAACGGCGAGGAGAACGAGGAGCTCGACCTCAACTTGAGCCTCTAGCTCCCACCACCACCACCTCCTCCTCCGCCGCCGCCGCCGCCGCCGCGCAATCCAAGAAGGCAAGGTCAATCAATCGCCATGTTCTTCTTCTCCAAGCTCCACCTACTCCTCTTCCAATTCCTCCTCGTGTGTGATTAATCCCCCTCTTCTTGCTGCCTGCGTACGTACTCCTTAATTAATTAGCTCTTAGGGACGTTAATTAATCTCAGTTCTTGGCTCTCTTCTCCTCTCCTCTCCTCTCCTCTCATCTCACTTGTATGTTAATGTTAGTACTCCTTGTAATCGATCAATCAGTCCTCTTTTTTTGCATCCTTTTTTGTCTTCTTTTTCATTTTGCCGTCGATTTCTTGGCTTCTCTCTTCATTTTACCTTTCATGTTTGCCTCTGCTGCTGTATATATCTGTGACTGTCTCTGTAGTCTGTACTTGGATGGCACTTGCAACCAACCGCATTGCAATGGCCTGCAGAGGCTCGATGGTCACACTGTTCATCTCATGCTCGAATCGCCATTGACATGTCCATCTACTTCTACTTCTTCTCATCGTATCAAAGCGTTTTCTTTTCTTTTCTTCTCTGAAGCCGTGAGTTTTCTCTGGTTGCAGCTGCATCTACGTGCCTGTCAATCCATTCAACTACGTTCATATATTCTCCTCGTTGCAATTTTTTTAATACGTTTTCTCATACTGTTCATGGACCTGGATAGATTAATATCCGTATACATATACTGTACATATTTGGTGGTACTAGTGTATCTATCTATCGTCTGCTGCACTAATTCATCATATCCAACGGCTGTGACTGCTAGTACTAGCTCTTGTTTGTTTGTTCGATTCTGTGGCTGCAGAATAGTAGCAGAAGGATATTAGACAAGAAGTTTTCAATTTTTTTTTACATACGTCATGCAAGGTGAACGTGCATACTACTACGGTGTATGGTAAAGAAGGTGAAGTAGTTGCTGGTTTTTACTACTACTGTACTATTTTAATCCTTGTGTGTCCCAAAACTGTTGCTGCTGTTTGGCGTACGTGTGCATGTTGCGTTTTGGTGACATGAGATGAGATGCAGGTTTGGGAGCGGTGGGTGTTGAACAGTGATGCAATCAATCTCGCTATGTATATACTCCTTCTCGTGCTACTGACATGTGGGGACATGGCATGAGTATACAGTAGTAGTATACTCCATGTGTGTGAATGTTCAGGTCGGTGTCCCATCGCGTCGGATCGTGTTTCACAGTTGCGAGAGCTTTTTCTTTATTTTTGGCTACTGCAACGCTTTCTCTCTTCTTCCTCTTTTCTGCCATGAAAGCCTACTATACGACTAGTCATCTCCTGACTTGAAAAAAAAAACCAGAAGAAAAGGCGAGAGAGAGAGAGAGAGAGAGCTCCTGTTTCGAGTTATGGTGAGAGGTGACGCGACTCACGCACCGGACGGACAAATCCGCGCCGTCCAATAGCCAGCCAGCCAGACCCTCTTTGCGGGCCCCACCTGTCAGCGCCACGGTCCAATCCCCGTGCCCCGGCCCGAGCCGGATCGTCTGCGCGCCAAAGCCCAAAACGACCCTTGGGTGGTTCGACCGGTCGGGTCGGGTCGGCAAACTCCCACGTGAGCCGTTAGATCGGGTTGTCAGGCGATCACGACCGTCCATCGCGAGGGCTCTCTGTTCTTTCCGGCGGTTAACAGTAGCCATCCGGGAAAGCTACGTCGACGTGGAGGAGGAGGAACATGTCGACACTTGCATATTCCGAGACTCGTACTCGCGTACTAGTACCGAGTACAGTACTAATTTTTGTTCGTACGTACACGTGGGCGATACGGCCAGCTATACGTACACTCGTACCGCCGCACCGCGCCAATACGTAGACGTACGGAGTGCCGGGCCCACCGGTCGGCGTGTGTGTGTGACTGCGGCTGTTTCCGGCTGGGGGCAGGAAGCAGCAGACAGCGGCAACCGATCTGGTTCCTCGCCGTCTGCACAACTGGCGGGGACGACGACAGCGTGGACACGACACGCGCATGTGACCGCGCCCCACCCTCTGGGGCGGCGGGCCCACCTGTCAGTGCCTCCTGCTGTTGCGAGCGCGCGTATAATTAACTTCGGTACTCCTCCGAGCCAATGCTAAAAACTCGTCCGTTAACTTTTTACATCATGTTTAAACTATAAACAAAATTTTATGAATATTATTTATTTTGTTGTGATATATTTTACTATTGAAGAAACTAGTATGGCGTATTTTAATACACTTATTCTATTTATTTAAATAATATAAATGATCAAAGTTGTTTCACAAGTTAAGATTTTTGTCGTGTACTAAAATCTGGAGGTAGTACTAGTAAAATTATGGCGCTGATGAATGGTGATGACTGCCGGAGCCACAGCTCAGAGCTACTGCCACCAGCAGCCATTTTCAACTCAGCCGCAGCCAAAGCGAACAGCCCGTACATTAGGAACTTTAAATTAAATCATAAAGTTTAAGGGCCTACTATTTGTTTGGGAGGAAAACCAAGGGACTCAGGGGCTGTTTAGGATCCCTCCTATCCAAACACCACCTCATATTTCTATGGATTAATATCTACTAGTGTCATTTGGTTCATAGGAATGTAGATATAGGAAAACCAAATAAAAATTTTCTTTCCTACAAGTTGTAAAGAGAAAACATAGGAAATTTTCCATTCACTCAAACCTATTGAAAAATTCCTATATATTGAAGTGTGCATGTTTTCCTATTCCTATATATTAATTCCTCCAAAACAGATAAGTCTTAAATGTTGGCTATTGCTAATAATAATCTACTACTCCCTCCGTCTTAGAATATAGTAGTAATATAGTACCGAATATGATGTACCCTACTACTACGGATACGGATATAGGCCAGAATACGTCTAATCCGATACTAGATTGCTATACTCTGAAAATTTTATTTTTGATAATAATATTTCAATCCAACAATCTATCATCTTAATGACTTTCTCGGATTTAATGTATGACTCTTCATTCTTCCACATAAGATTGGCTATACGGGCATCGAGAAATGTAAATATTAATGAATCGCTTGTTCACGAGGAATGACTAGTAGCATGTTTAAATGGATGATAAGTAGAATTGCTTATCCTTGGTCTGTGTGGCAAGATGAAATTTAACCATGAGCTTTTGTTTTCGTGTCCAACTTTAATCGTCCGTCTTATATAAATTTTTTACGGTTTATATTTTTATTGTTATTAGATGATAAAATATGAATATTACTTTACACATGACTTTTTTTTAACTTTTAAAAAATCAAGATGATTAAAGTTTGACATGAAAACTGATGACCACACTTAGGCCCCCTTTGAATCACAGGAATGAAAAAACGGGGGAATAGGAAAAACATAGGATTCTGATAGGAATACAAGTGTAAAACAGAGGATTACAAAATACAGGAAAAACATAGAAATGACCGTTTGATTGAGCCGCATGAAAAACACAGGAATTTGAGGAGAGAGAAAGACTCAAAGGATTCTTAACATGAGGTAGAACCTCATGTTAAATTTCCTTCAAAATTTGCATGGGAAGAGGCATTCCATAGGAATTTTATAGGATTCCATAGGATTCATTCCTTTGATTCAAAGGGCTATATAGGAAAAATTCCTATAGGAATTAAATCCTTTAAAATTCCTATGAATTTACTTTGAATCAAAGGGGGCCTTAAAATGGGACCGGAGGGAGTAAAATGCAGACGATGAGACTGACGGTCACAGGACCAGCCGCGGCGGTCCCGGCTGCGGCAGCCGTGTTGTCTCTATGCGTGCGTAGCTGTGTGTTGGAACAGCCGCCCTGATGATTCTCTGTGGCGCAACATCTGTGCCACCCAACTCCCTCATTGGCCGCCTCAGTTATCTCTTGTCGCCTAGCGTCCTCGGGAAAGGACAGGGATGAACAGTCGATCCAACTAACAACTGTTTCAAAATTATGTATGTACAAATAAATAAATAAATTTGTTCTTTTTTTTAATCAAAGAAGCAGATAATTTAGCCCACTGGATTTGGTAAAAACAAATATGGGAAAATAATATATGTATCCGTTCGTATCTGAGACGATTGCAACAGCAGCTCTGGTCTGATACACTGATGTGCCATCTGTGTGTGTGTGTGTGTTTTTCTTGGATTGTTGCTTGACTGGCACGGGGCAGCTACTTGCTTTAACTTAATTAAGCAGGACCATTTCTGGATAAACTCGTAATTTAGCAAACCGGTCTTACTTCTTTTTGTGATTGCCGTGCTTGTGTGTGGTCATCAACTCATCACGAGTGCACAACAAGTTACATGAGTATAAATACAAGTTGTAACATCTGTATTAAAAAATGTCATTATTAATTTATTGGTAGGTCAACTTACACGCAGTGAAGAAAATGAGAGAGAGAGAGAGAGAGAGAGAGAGAGAGAGGGGCTGCGTGGTCTTAAAATAATTTGTCAGTTTACGGAAATAAATAAATAAATGATGAGCATGCAGCGTTGGTCGTATGTACTGGTTAATTGCAATTATACAAATGGTATAATCACTATAGCATGGCATAAGAAGAAAACACCATGCATTTCTCTCTCTCTAAATAAAGTACAAACCCTCTTTAATAATTCGATTGTGAAATACGATAGTGAAACAGTGATTGTACGTTAGCCGTTGATGCACAGTACCCGTAATCCTAGTGGAGATAATGTGATCATGTGCAGAGCTACTGTTTTGCATATGTATCTTTTAAATATTTGCATTATATGCATGAAATTACATTGGTAGATTAATATTAAAAAAATATTCCATATCATATTGTTTTATTAGGTTTTAGAAATACACCACAATTAAAAAAAATACATGGATTTACATTAATTAGTCCATTTGTATGCTATAAAGAGGACATACCTAGGTCATGTTTGATAGAGCTTAAGACATTCGGTTGTATTTTCTTTTGGAATCTATAGCTCATCAATCTATATTCTAATAATAATTTGTAGATATAGAATTAGAATCCAGAGGATGAAAACTTGATTTTTCTATATTTTTACCATCTAGGCACCTACTTCTCGAAAACTCCAGCTCTCCAAACACAATGAAAATGTAGAGGTTTTTCCCACCTAAGACCTTATTTGATTAATTCCCATAAAGCTTTATTCGATTAATCCCACTCACAACAGAATTAATAAAAAATTGGAAGGAGATAATTCTGCACCTATTAAGGTATAGAATTAATCTCTCTGATGAGATTAACCGAATAAGGCTAAAGAAAATGGAGGGGATTAAGGGAAAATAGTTTCACACTAAAATATATGTGAAATTATTTCCATTCAAATATCCCTCAAACCTGGCGAACAAGGTCTAAACTAGATGATGAAATTTCCTGAATGGGAAGCGAAGTAGAGGAGGACATGCATTATTTAGCAAAGCGATTGGCATGATGCCATCGGTTTTAACTATTTTTGTCTCTATATCGAAGCGAATTATTAAAGAGATCAGTGTTGTGTTCTGC